CGCGCCGCGCGCTCGCTCGTTCCCTGCCGCCGGGGCTCGCTCCAGCGCCAGCGGGGCCCCCGGGCTTTGTGTCGGTGGCTCTTGGCGTGTTTTGTCCCGGGTCAGGCTCGTCTCCCGAATGGCAGGAAGGAACGGGAGGCGGACACCGTCCCCTCGCTCCACCTCCCTGACAGGGGTTTTCCTCCTCCTCCCCTTTCTCCCTCTCCCCTCCCTGCCGCTCGGGTCTCAGCGCTGCGCTCGGGTGTCATGTTACCGCCTCTGCTGGGGAGGGGCGGCAGGCGATTATTTGCAACCAAGAAGAAAGTTTCTGGGTGTGTATTTTTGTCATTCCCCTTTCTCTCCACGCTGGTCTCGGTTCCTGCGCCACCAGCGACCTCTTGGGGGCCCAGCTGAGTTCCCTCTCGTAAACAGTCTCTGACAGGAAGAGCCGCCGCTTATTTTACTATATTGACGAGTGTATTGCTTTTTTTCACTTCAGAAACTTGATTTCCTCAACCTAGGCTAGCAGTTTACAAAAGCCAGATCAAAAGAACAGAGGTCCTGGACTTGCTTGCGATGGTCAGAGAATGAGTTATAATTAATCGCGCCCCACAGCGCCCGGCTCATCCTCAGGAGCGACTCCCCAAGAGGAGAAATAGAATGCTTTCTTCTTCCTGTAGACACTCAGGAAGGAGCCCTGGTAGGGTAGTGGGTTACTCCGTTGGGCTGCTAACTGCAAGATCAGCAGTTCGAATCTACCAGCCACTCGGCAGGAGAAAGATGAGGCTTTTTATTCTTGTAGAGATTTATAGCCTCGGAAACACTGTACAGACTCATTAAGAGTCGAACCAGAGCCGCGGCACATAACCACCATCACAGCCACTCAGGAGGCACCAGTGCAAAGAGTTGGCCACAACAGAAGGTTGAGGGTGCAAACTTGAAAGAATCAAAGGAGCTTATTGGAACCTCTCAGTATCCCAGACACATCTGCCTGGGGGGTGGGGGGTGGGGTGAGGGGAATGGGTGACTCAGGAAGGACTGCTTTTATCAACCACACTTTGCCATTGTTGTTAAGTGCCATCAGTAGATTCCCACTCATAGAGACCTTGTAGAGGGGTTCCGAAGGGCAGCTGGTGGGTTCCAAGGGGCCACCTTGAGGTTTGCAGTCCAGCTCTGGTCCTACAACCCCACACCAGGAGTCCACACTTTAAATAAGAATCCTCCACTGAAGCTGTACCTCTGAGGTTGACGTGACTTCCCCTAAGTCATAGAGCTAGTAGGGTGTAGATTGGAAGCCAAATTCAAATCTGTTTGACTCTCAGATCCACTATACTATTCCTGTTCTGCTCTAACTCCTAGAGAGGACCCCTTTGTTCATAATTTACATGGTGTCTGAAGATGAGCTATGTATGACTCATTTAGCCCTGGTCACTTACGGAAACGTCCATGTCAGGAGCTACTCATCTGCTCCCTGCTCACCTGTGTATTCTGTAACTGATGACTGATTGGCAAAGCAATCAAGAACCACACCCCCCTGCAGTCCTAAGACTATTTCTGAAAACTTCTATACAGTTGGATAGATGAAGAATTTTCCATAGGACATCTGTACTGAGACCATGAAATGATCTTCGTAGGATTTAAGAATAATATGGCTTATCTAATACAAATAACTGTGATGTGAAACATGAATCAATAGAAAAACGCATAGACCACAGGTTAGACTCATAGGAGGTGAGGTGAATGGTGTGTCACACACACATTCTCACACGTGCATACGAGAAAATCTTACTTCCTGATTTGACATAATGCCAGCAGAACTTCCTGAGGGCTGGGAAAGCTGCTTAAGGATCTCTTTGTTCTATTACAGAAAATCTAGAATAAGGTGCTGATGGTTTGTTTCATATTTATTCCACGGATCAGAGATATATCTGGATTGATGCACACATTCTAGAAATGTGACTGACCCTGGAAGAATTAAGCAGATTAGTTATTGCCCATTAATGTGAATTACTTTAATCAGCACACTAAGTAGCCCAGAATGGATCCTCAATAAATTATTTTTGAGTTAATGATGAGGGATGAGGAAATGCGAGGAGCAAAGTCATTTTCATAATGTTCAGTTGATCTTTTGTGGCCACCCTTACTCACTGGCCCTGTGCCTGAAACTTGGTTCTGCAATCTGAATGCTCATTGGAGATAAAATAATGTACAAAATCTCTGTGCTCTCTGGTAGCATAGTGGTTACAAATCGGGCTGTGAACCTCAAGGTCAGCAGTTTGAAACTACCAGCTGTTCCACAGGAGAAAGATGAGACTTTCTGCTCCTGCAAAGATTTACAGCCTTGGAAACCCTACACAGGGTCGCTATGAGTCAGAACCGACTCCACGGCACATAACCACCACCACAGAGATCCCTTCCCATAGAGGACTTTGGGAAGTCTCCTATTTTTTTCTCCAAAGGGAAAAAAAAATCTGAGATACAGTGAGGTTATAACAGGAAGATGGGGCGGAAACAAACATCAGAGGAAATAAGTAAATTTGAGAATAAGAGTAGTTTTTTGGTTGTTTTTCCAGAAACAGTGAAAAAGTTATAAAGAAAGTACAAGGGGGCAAAGTCCAATTTAGAAGAAACAATCTGTGACAAAAAGAATTACAGGATGAAAAAGAACAGGTCTATTTTGAAAAGATTACATTTAATGGAGTTTTTTGTTGTTGTTGTTTTTCAGTGCTGTTGAGTCAATTCCAACCCATAGCGACCCTGTACAGGGTTTCCAAGGAGCAGCTGGTGAGCTTGAACCACCGACCTTGCAGTTCAAAAGGCTTTGCAGTCTGACGCATTAACCCACAGTGCCACACCAGGACTCCTTTAATGGCGTATCAGCTTAAAAAGAAATTAAAATCTCACAGAAGGAAAAGAAAAGAAATCAAGACACAAAGAAGTTTCACATGGGAAAAATAAAGGACTTTGTCTTTTTATCCAACAAAAATTTAGATGTTTGTGTAAAATTTGGTTCTTGGCAGTCCCATAAATATTCTTACAAAATTGTTTTAAATTTAAAATCCTCATTTCTTTACTAAAGTTTGCTAATTAATCTACTAACTCCTGGTGTGGCACTGTAGGATCAGCACCGGACTGGGAATCACAAGGTTGGCAGTTCAAACCCACCAGCTGCTCCTCAGAATGCAGGTTTACTATAAGAAAACAAAAATCCTCACCACTGGACCAATAAACAACATTCTTATCAATGGAGAAAAGATTGAAGTTGTCAAGGACTTCATTCTTCTTGGATCACCTATCCACATTCGTGGAAGCAGCAGTCAAGAGATCAGACAACATATTGCATTAGGCAAATCTGTCAGCTTGAGGACTAAGGTGCGCCTGACCCAAGCCATGGTATTTTCAATAACCTCATATGGATGCGAAAGCTGGACAGTGAATAAGGGAGATCATAGAAGAATTGATGCCTTTGAGTTATGGTGTTGGAGGAGAATACTGAAAGTGCCATGGGTTGCCAAAGAACCAATAGATCTGTGTTGGAAGAAGTGCAGCCAGAGTGCTCCTTGGAGGCCAGAATGGCTAAACTTTGTCTCTCATACTTTGGGCATATTGTCAGGAGGGAACAGTCGCTGGAGAAGGATGTCATGCTGGGTAAGATGGAGGGTCAGAGAAAAAGAGGAAGACCCCCAACAAGATGGATCAGCCAGGTGGTATCATTGATGGCGTCAAGTGTGGCAGCGGTAGTGCTGTTGGCCCAGAATTAGACATTGTTTCGTTCTGCTGTGCATGGGGGTCGCTATGAGTCGATTCCGACTCGATGGCACCTGACAACAACAATAAGTGGGAACCAACTTGATAGCCTTTAACAATAATAACATAAGAATTTATGAAGAACTTTTATTATTAACCTTATAGCTAAAAAGACTTCATTCAGCTCCTTGACCTCCATTCAACATCGGAGCTTCTCTATTATTCCTTCCCTCTCTGGTGCCTATTCTTCTTTCCCTATTCTCTTCTGAGCCACTCATTTTGTCTTCAATGACTCATTTGACCTTGTCATCACTCATACTTGTGTCTCCTCCAAAAATTTCATTTTCAAACAACCACCCTCTGACCGTCGCCTTCTGTCCTTCTGCTTGGCTTCTCTATTGCCTGTTGTTGTTGTTATGTGCCGTGGAGTCGGTTCCGACTCACAGCGACCCTGTACAGGGTTTCTGAGGAGCAGCTGGTAAGCTTGAACCACTGACCTTGCAGTTCAAATGGTTTTACAGTCTGGCACATTAACCCACAGCGCCACACCAGAACTTCTATGCCCCAATTTTACATTGGGCTAGGGGAACTTTCTAAGGACTAAGAAAACTATTTAGGGACACTGTTTGTTCTATCACAGAAAATCCAAAATAGGTTGCTCATGGTTTATTTCGTATTTATTTCATGAATCAGAGATTTATCTGGGTCAAAGTGCACATCTTCTCTCAACTAGATTATTGCAATAGCCTCATGTGTTATCCACTGATAGTCCATGGGTGCTCCACTATTAACCATTAAAGTTCAAATACACCCTCTGAAGCAATCAGCTTCCAAAAGGTCACAGCCAAGAAAACCCTATAGAGTGCAATTCTACACTGAAACTCACGGGGTCACCATGAGCCAGAATCAGTTAGATGGCCGTAGGTTTTTCCTCTATCAGTCATGTTTAGGCTTTGCTGTCTGTAACTGAAACTTCCAAAATAACAGTGGTGTGGCTCTGTAGGATA